TTTTAACTGAAGATGACAAAGTCAATTTCTTATCAAGAAATCTTAAATTAAAAACAACAGGCGTCGTATTTGATTTAGAGCAGAAAATAATCTTTAACGGAAAATATCACGAACTGTGAAATAATAATACCAATTAATCGTATAATGTGTATTCTAAGTTTGTTTTACATTTATGATCCATAAAATAAAGCTTAGTAGCTTAATTAGGTCGAAATCTGTCTACCTGTATGTTTGGACGCCTGTATATATATGTGCATATAGTTTTTATTATAATGAGAAAACTCATTATACTACTAGTTTCAAACATGAACTTTTCCTTTCTGTTAAACTGCGGGTGTTTTTGTTTCACATTCCTTTTAATGCGTCCATTATAGAACAATGAAGAAGATTTTATTATATTAAAACCGTAACTAATGGACTAATTAAGAGGAATGAGCTCTGTACTGAGTAAAATGCGTCGTTAGCGATGGATATGATGAACATAATGTGGTTGGAATACTGTTATACGCACCCTTCTTCTTCTTCTTGAAAATTCTCAAAGTCGTGATTTCATTGGTTGAAGTGTTACTTTTACGTAAGAAAAGAATAGTAATTTGTACTGTCCTTTTGCTTATACTGTGACGGAAAGCTAACTTAAACACCACTCTTGCTTTAGTGAAAAAACAAAACTTTTTTCTAGCAGGTACGCGACAAAATTCGACCGACTCTCTTTAAAAAGTTAGTGGAGTTTATTAACCGACAACACACTAATATTTATTTTCTTATGAAAGGTGTTCATAGCATGTGCTTATATCCCTCTGTAAGAGTTTATATGATGTATGACGTTTCTGTGGGGTATAATACACGTCTGAGCTGACTTTCTTAGATGTGACACTAACGGCCAAGCTTTAACATAATCGCCAATAACCGCTGTATAAAAAATGAATTATTAGTACCATGAAAGTGAATTTAGTGTGTAAAACTTTTGAATCATTTTAACTTGATTTCAAATTTTGGTTTTCACCTGTGGAAGGCCGCCTGAGTTTAGTAGGGATTTAATAATAGAAATATGATAACTGAAATTTCCATAAATGTTTTCTAAGCCCCCCATTCTTCCCCCAACAACTGTCTAGGTTCTACGGATATCTACGGCTACAAAAAAACATTTTCATAGAACAAACAATAAGTAATAATTTGTATCCAGTTAGAGTTTGTTTGTTTGTTTTTTGTAAAATTCAAGCGTAAAAAGAATTAATTCTCTTTAATATTTAGCAGTCGAATTAATAATTGAAGGTAACTGAGGTAAATATAACTATATTACTTGACGTAAGGTATATAATTTGTTTTGTAATTATATATATGATCAGTGATAATTTAGACTATCACGTGTTATAAATTATTTGTGAAGAACACTTTAATAATGGTGCAAAGTACATATTATATATATATATATACACACACACATATATATATATTCAGAGTTCAGTACGATCATGAATATGCAAACCAGTAAGTCACGTGATAACCACAGTCGATATAAAGTCTTGGTGAAATTGTAGGTATAATAATTATATTTTAACATTAGTTGGTGTTTCGTAGGTAATGTGATGCCAACGAATACTGATCGCATTTTTGAAGAATATGTAACAGCCCTTTTCGACGTTAAATATCCATACACTTAGATGATAAAGACGAGCTGGATCGGGGATTTAAAATTCCCAAAATTGGGACATCCCTTGTTTTGAACGGCATTGGAAAACAAAATGATGTGGATCAACTTAGGGACTAAGGACAATCCAGAAAGTGACCTGCACAAGTCTTACTCCAACCATAGTAAGCAAAGTGAGACGTTTTGTAACAGTTGAGAATTCGCGAACATAAAGGTCAGTAGCAAAAGACGTCCACGTGTTCCAGGCAATAGTACGCATCATATTCAAGAAGAATTTCCTCTTGAAAAGCGACATAAGTAATATTTGCACAAGTTGCTTCAACTGTCCACGACATATC